GGGCGTCGTTCATGGGCGGTGGACATCGTTTTCGTGGGCGGGGACGTCGTTTGCGGTCGCTGGACGTCCGTGGGCGGTCGTTTTCGTGGGCGCTGGTCGTCGTTGGTGTGAGGTCGTTGATGTTGGTGGGCGCTCGTTTTCGTCGGTGGGCGCTCGTGGGGGTGGGCGCTCGTTGACGTTGGTGGGGTGTGTTGGTGGGCTGTTCGTGGTGGTGAGTCCTCGTGGCCGAGCAGAGACGGCGAACGACGACCGATGTCGTCGTTCGCCGTCTGGTTGCCACGTCGCGACGTGGCACCTGTGGTTTGTGTTAAAAAGGAGAGTGGGTGGGGTGGTTGTTCCCACTTACCTGGGCTGGGCCCTCGTCACGCGTCGTCAGCGTCAGCGTCGCGTCGTCGTCGTTGTCGATGTCGCGGGCGGTCGTGGTTTGAAACGGTGGTGGTGGATGGTGATGGTGGTGGTAGGAAGGAAAGAACGACGTGGCAACGCTTCAGCCACAGCTGTCACGTTTGACGCGGCACGTGCCTAAAAGCGGTATATACATACCTTTAGTTTCTCATATAATAATGCCTTCATGGCTCAGTCGGCTTGAGCGCTGCTTACATTCACGAGGTCGAGAGTTCAATTCCTCGAGATGTAAAAAAATTTATTTTACTTACTTATAGTAAGGACAATGTATTCTAATGGTATAATAGTCATTAATTCCATTCCATGGAATCCATATGGACTGCTCCATGGAATCCATGTGGATATGCCTGCATTCCATATGGAATTTGATGGAATCCATATGGAATGGTGTTGGAGTCCATATGGAATTAATCATTCCATGACCATTCCAGCATCATTCCATATGGAATCCATGATGTCCATGGAATCAGAAACTGGCTGTGTCCTCAGCCAACATTGATTCCATGGATTCCATATGGAATTCTTCATGGATTCCATGGATTCCACATGGATTCCATATGGATTATACCGGGGAAGGTAAAGACCTCCATACTTGTCATATACAGATTCAAGATATTGAAAGTTTTCACAAAAAGGAGGCACTATTGTTGAAGGAGTGAAAAGGATGGACAATTTGCCATTGCTGTATAATTTGGTTTGGTTATATATAAATGACCCTGACATGGACCCTGAAGGCAGTGCCTCATATTGAATACACTGCATATACCAACTCTATTTTTTTGTGAGTTTTCTGCTATTCTTTTAATAGAAATACATAAATTTACTTTTTTGGATATGTACCCTGAATCTGACAACAGCTATTTGGAAATGTGCACAGACCATGTAAACAGTACCCCAACATTCATGTCTCTGAGTTGTTCACAGGCCTATTATTAGTTCATTAGTTTATCAATATTACAAAGATTCAAATTAGGTTTACCTGAGTATTAAATGCTCATTTGTCATAGGTTGATCCATCAGAAGCTAGGGCTTTTATAACTAAATTTGGAGCAGACCCATCTGTGGGAGCTGGATTCCACCATTTTCGACAAAGAACATCTTCTTTCCAATGTTTCCCATAGTGGAAAGTATCAACTATCAATTGTGTTGTTTCTGACCACTCATCCCAGTGACCTTGTGCAGCCATATGTTTAAGCACTTTACAAGCTTTATTGATGCAGATATAATCTGGATGCGATTCCTTTGTAGGATAAACCTTCTTCATAAAGGCCAGAATGTTTGACTCTGACTCTGATTTGGCAAATTTTGCCCATGCTTCAACAACACCACATGGATAACAAATTGTTTCAACACAATAAAATGTTGCAGGACCAAAAAAGTGCTTTAATTTTTTGGGTTCTGGAGCTGGCTGATCATGTGGCTGAACTTCATGCTCAGATCTAGGATTCCACTCTAGATTTTCTTGCTGACAGTTCAACATTCTTTTTGATCCTGCCAAACTTGCAGCTGAGTGATCCAGCAGGTATTTATTCCAAACACTTTGATGAGCTGCACAGGCCTTTGTGGGGCGAACCAAGGTCTCTGTGCAATCTCTAACACGACAGTGATTGCCAAACTCATGTTCATGTACTCGACACAAGGCACCTCCTCGATAATTAAGTAGATCCCCAATGCAACCATCAGCAGCACAATGCTTTGTGCCATTAACCATTGCATCAATTACTCTCAATGGACACCGCCAACGGAAGACGTCCAATGGACACAGAATTCCGGCCAGTCCAACCATTTCTTGCTTCTAAGTAGTTTGAGTGGACTTTCACTGGACTTTGCCTGGACTAGCAGCGGAATCCAGTCATGTCCAATGGACTCTGATGGTCTTCTGACGGACTGTCCGCTGGGTCCATCGGAAATGGCAGGGTCTGATGAAAGTCCATCGGAGTCCATTGGACAAGCAGTGGGAGTGTAAAGTACTGCTAATTGTGACAGGATGACTGACTATTGTGATCAGATGTACAAGGTTAATCCTGATGTAATTGGCAATCAATTGCTTTGCTGATGATGGTGGGAAAGTTGATACAGGTAAGCTATGCACCCAGTACAGATAATTATTCATAATGCTGACTGCTAACTGGTAAAATAATGATGCTCACTGCTGAATTAATGAGGGTAACTGCTGACTGCTAACAACTAATTGTTCTTATTAATTCTAACAGTGACAGTGTGACTTGATAATGATTCATAATGCTGACTGCTAACTGCTGATAGTGTTCTTATTGACAATAATGCTGACCACTGACTGCTAACAACTAGATGTTCTTATCAATGTTCACTATGACAGTATGACTGGCTATTGTGATCAAATGTACAATTACTCATGTGCCTATTGGCCAAATAGCCAGTTCTCCCTTGTGTAACATGGACAATGCCTTTCAACATGCTGGCGTGAAATTAACCTGGTCGATACTCACTCTAATTTCACCAAGTTCTGGAGGCACTGTGAGGAAATTGTTGTCATCTACTTATTCCATTGGTTAGCTCTCAGAAGATGAAGGGTTTTTCTGTGGTTGCTGTAGTTTGTGTCCCACATTCCCTATGTGTATGGGATTTTGACGATGGACCTAAGTAGGACTTGCGAATTGTGAACCCATCTATGATGGTATTTGAGGTGGTAGGAAACGAGTGGCCATTGTTTCTCCAACATATCACAAAGTTCTATGTTTGTGGTGCAACTCAGGGACATGTTGGACTTGGAGTAAATGGTAAGGAGGAACTTTACCTTGTCGACTTCAGAGGGAATCCAGCATGTGTAGCTAGGCCATCAGACATGGGACAGTTAGACATGTGATATTGGATGTTGCAGTGTTCGGGTGGTATGACATTGATGTGAGACAGTGGACTTAAGACAGTGATTGAAGGACAGTTTCAGATGGAAGCAGTATGCGTGTTCAAGCATGAATCCCACTCTCATCACCAGGTGGAAAGGGCTCTAGTGCCTTTGGCACTGTGGATGTGTGGTGAAGTGATGATCTTCCCTGTATCTACTCGCTCTTCTACACTAATTGCTGACTAATCTAATGCTCAAATGCCTTCTTAGGGGGAATGCCCCATTCTTTATTCCAACAATAGCCAGTCATTCTGTTATAGTGAATATTAATAAGAACATCTAGTTGTTAGCAGTCAGCAGTTAGCATTATTGTCAATAAGAACACTATCAGCAGTTAGCAGTCAGCATTATAAATAATTATCAAGTCACACTGTCACAGTTAGGATCAATAAGAACAAATAGTTGTTAGCAGTCAGCAGTTACCCTCATTAATTCAGCAGTTAGCTGTTAGCAGTTAGCATCATTATTTTACCAGTTAGCAGTCAGCATTATGAATAATTATCTGTACTCGGTGCATGGCTTACCTTTATGTACTTTGCTACTATCATCAGCAAAGCAATTGATTGCCAATTACATCAGAATTAACCTTGTACATGTGATCAGGATAGTCAGTCATTGTAACAGGTGGTCCATGAGGGATTTGTTGTAGTGGGTTTCTAGTCAATGACAATGGGTCTGGTGAACAAGTAGTACCAGCTATTATTATGGTGTGAAGACTGGATGATGAATGCATGGACAACAATGACACCTACAGTTGAGTGCAAAAAGAATGAAGGTTGGTTCATTTTTCTGGTTCTTTCTAAGAATCTATTGTACCTCAAATGTATTTGTGTATTCTTTTACATTATGTAGTTGTGTTGCACTTCCCTTGGTATGGACTAATTTCAGTGAAAGCTGGGGCCTTGAGAAGGTTTTTATTCTGGAGGCCATTTTTGGCATCTGAAAAAAAAAAAATGTGCTAACTGGAGAGGTAGCCAGAGCATACCTCTGGTCAACCTGAATGAGCCTATCAAAG